AACGATATTGTTGCAATGCACAATTTCATGTCATCTTAAAAACAGTATTTTTGATCCCTGCTTTTGATGACAAACAACGATATTGTTGCAATGCATAATTTCATATCACTTTAAAAAATAATCATTTTAATCCCTGCTCAGATGACGAGCCTACAGACGATGCTGTTGCTGGTGCAGACGATGATGCTGCGATGTGGACGATGTGAAGTGTTCACTTCGTCGCACGACCTCAGTGAAATGTTCCTCGTCGAGCGGGACGTCATCTCTGCGCTGCAGAAATACCTCGTCAAGGCAGAGATTCGTCTGGGGCGAATACGAAGGTATGTTCGCTTGTATATTATGATATTGCATGGTTAATTAATTTTTCAAACATTAGATAAGATCGGAAAAAATTATTCCAACGTGTTTACTAGTTTAACAATTTCAAAAGGTAAGTTTAAACGATTGACCAGACTCAGAGGTGATTCATGAAATCGGCTGAAAATTTCATTAAAAAAATTTTTCAGGTCGATGATGGAGCGAAAAATAATGTGCAGAAAGACTAGAATTATTATTAACATTCGGCATTTGCGCGCGAGGTTATGCTATTTTTTATATTTTTTTCACGTGACTACCCTTACTCAGTACGTAGTTACTATGATAAAAAGATGCCGCACGTGTTTTTTTGTAGCATATAATTTCTTATATTGCCCCTGATCGCCGGCCTGCCATCAGACATCCACCAGTTGGAAACTACCAATAAAAATGCATAAAATGCATTCTTCAGATCAAGCCCAATTAAACTGCCTATAAGGTTGAGCTAGCGGCGGAGAAGGGTCTTGCAGAAATACCTCGTCAAGGCAGAGATTCGTCTGGGGCGAATACGAAGGTATGTTCGTTTGTAAATTATGATATTGCATGGTTAATTAATTTTTTTCGAACATTTGTTCAGATCGGAATGGCAGACCATTAAGTCAGACTGTTGGAATAGACTGTTCAGTCAGACTGTTGAAATAGTACGCTCGTAAATTTTTATATTGTATTTCCAATTAATTTTTTCAAACATTAGATCAGATCGGAAAAAAATTATTCCAACGTGGTAACTAGTTTAACAATTTCAAATGGTAAGTTTAAGCGATTGACCAGACTCAGAGGTGATTCATGAAATCGGCTGAAAATTTCACTAAAAAAATTTTTCAGGTCGATGTTGGAGCGAAAATTATGTGAAAGAAGACTAGAATTATTATCAACTTTCGGCAATTGCACGTAAGGTGATGGTATATTTAAAAAAATTTTCCCGTTACTACCCTTATTTACTACGTGGTTACTTTGATAAAAAAATGTTACATGTATTTGTTAGCGCATTTTCTCATTTATGGAAAAAATGCACTATTGTGCTCGCCATGTCCGTCTGTCTGTCTGTCCGTCCGTCCGTGACCTCAAGTTTTCGTCGACGAGAAAATGCGCTCTCTGTCACTCACTGCAGTGAGCACTGAGTTAAATATTTTTTACATATAATTTCTCATATTGCCCCTTGATCGCCGACCTGCCATCAGACATCCACCAGTTGGAAACTACCAATAAGAATGCATTCTCAGGATCAAGCCCAATTAAACTGCCTATAAGGCTGAGCTAGCAGCGGAGAAGGGTCACTATGACCTGAAGATGTACCTAGCAATTGACCTGAGTCATTGTGAGGTCATAGGTCATATTTTGAGTGACGTGCTGCAGCGGAGAAAGTCTGGCGCTATTGTCCTATGAAGTGCACCTGCTAGGAGCATGTAACTCATAAGAGGAATCTCTTTCACAAACCCACGAGAGTGACAAGTCTTCTTCAGTCTAATGAAGGGCTTTGACTCCTAAAATATTGAAAGGCCCCATTTGTAATTCAGAGTAGCACTTCTCAACAGCCACGTGAAGGCCACGTTCTGCATGTTTCAGTTTGCACGATCGCCTAAATTATACTTTCACTTTTCCCGTAGGTCCCTAAAATTTGCCTTTAAATCGAGTTACTCTGATCAAGGACAGCGAAGAATATTAATTATTAAGCCTTGCGATTATATTTAATACAAATTTTTTAATGGCTCATGGGCGACATTCGTAGTTTGCTGAAGGTATCTGAGCTGTCGTGTTTATTTGGTAAATATATATTTTAAATTGTCATAGCAGGGCTGCAGGCAGGTTTGATTTTGCGTTACTTAATGGACAAAATTAATAATTAAGCAATACATTAGATGTTGAATTGGAACGCTGTTTTGGTGATAAAGCGATATTTTTGGAACAGTGCGTGCACTTCGGGGGATAAATGCTCAAGGGAATTGAAGTTTAATAAACCCGGGAATATATTTTATAAATTGCAGTCTTTATTGCATTTCTGTTGAGATACTGCTTGGAGAAATAACTGAAAACATCATATTAATTAGAAAGGGAAGTGCTTGGGGAATTCAACTAAATATTTGACAGATATTAAGGCCTAAATATTTGACAGTTATTAAAGCCTAAATATTTGACAGTTATTAGGGCCTAAATATTTGACAGCTATTAAGGCCTTAATATTTAACAGTTATTAAGACATAAATATTTGACAGTTATTAAGACCTAAATATTTGACAGTAATTAAAGCCTAAATATTTAACAGTTAGTAGGACCTAAATATTTGACATTTATTAAGACCTAAATATATGACAGTTATTAAGGCCTAAATATATGACAGCTATTAAGGCCTAAATATTTGACAGTTATTAAGGCCTAAATATATGACAGTTATTAAAGCCTAAATATTTGACAGTTATTAAGGCCTAAATATTTGACAGTTATTAAAGCCTAAATATTTGACAGCTATTAAGACCTAAATATATGACAGTTATTAAGACCTAAATATATGACAGTTATTAAGACCTAAACGTATATACCGGGAAATATTAATATCAGAATACTGTATATCTTAGATTCAAGACCAGAGAATAAGTTTCACTGAAAGTAATAAAATAAAATTACATTAAGAACAAGATATTTTTTACAAATAGAAAATATAAAAATAATTATCTAGTCTTCAGCAAACCTGCTTAAAAAACAAATCCTTCTATCCTACACTAATGTTCTATTATCTGGCTAAAAATTTCGAGAAAGTATTGGTAAGGAAATTACCTACTGGCGAATGGCAGCCAATAAAATAAGCTATTCATGCAATCTTGAACAAAACAAAATACTAGCCAGAAAAAGAATGTTCTCGCCGTGCGAGGTCTGTCAAAGATTTATTCTAGACTAGGACAGCCTGGTGAGAACAACACCGACCAGGGGCCATACTTTCAAAACTCGCTAAGTGAACGTAAGTACTTACGCTCTATTTTCTTGTGTATGATTGGTGGATTTTGCTTGAAAGGCCGTCAATGATTGGCTGATGAACTTACGATCTCTCAACTTTTTTTGAAAGTATGGGCCCTGCGCTGTACGGTTGACTTCAACCTTGCAAGTAATTTTTGCACTACATATTTCTCAGAGCCAGCGCGGAAGCGAAAAATTTCACGTGTACTTTCTATTATCCCGTAAACCGTAAGGCTTCTACGTAATAGCACCAGGAAGGATGCTTGTTCGAGGCTAACAATCCAGGCAGTTTTCAGTTTTTCCATTTCAAAAATATGCAGTTCAATCGTAAAAGCTATACTTAGAACAGTCGTAAAGTCAATCTTGACTTAATTAAATATATAATTGTATTAAAATTTAGCGTTCATTTAGGTGAGACAATCAACATGTCTTTGACGTGGATAAAAGCTATATTTAGTATTTTGCAATTAAGATTTTAATTATTTCGGTAATTAAAAAGGATAGTGAGGAAAACTGTCAGCCGTCGCGAACTAAGATACTGGCGCACATTCATTCTAGCATTAAATCAGTTTCGTGCGTGTAGTTATCCGCGCATGAAAGGGGGCTATCATGTCACGAATACATATCCAAGCGTGAGCCTGAAAGTGCCATGAAGTAGAGAGCGCGTCTGTCGTCACGCATCGAGTTTCGTGGAAGCATGCGTGCAGAGTTCGCGCAGGACAACACACAAGAGAAAGTTCATGATTGCCGGGACCACCTGCCATCACTCAGTCATTGGGCTCAGTTCATTTCTCTCCCTGGTGGCCAGGAGGTGGAGACTGCCTGCCATCACTCAGTCATTGGGCTCAGTTCACTTCTCTCCCTGGTGGCCAGGAGGTGGAGACTGCCTGCCATCACTCAGTCATTGGGCTCAGTTCACTAATCCCCCTGGCGGCCTGGTGGTGGAGATCGCCTGCCATTACCCATGCATTAGGTTCAGTTCATTTCTCTTCCTGGTGGATGAGAAGTGAACAGTTCTCTTTCTTCCTCTCCGTTTCTGATATGCGCATCCAGGATAAATATCAGCGACCTCTCCAATCTATCCGGCCAAATCTCAGTCCGCGTGCGATGCGTGCTTATCTAAGACCATGCTTGCTACGTGCGTATCTTAGACTAAGTGATAAACGTGCTTCCGAGACACGTTCGGAAATTTCATGCAGTTCACTGTCATCGACCTCTAAATGCAAATTCAGCGAAAATATAAATTTGGAGAATCAAGAAAATAAAATTTATTCATACATTTTTGCCAGTACCTGTACTCAAAATCAGATAAAAATACAAATATTTTTAAACTAAAATATATGTACTTCCTGTTACAACGATTATTATTTCATGTGAATCGTAACAACCGGCGTGGTACCCATATTTTTTTACATAGTTCATAAAAGTTACTAATACTTTACAGTATTTCCGGCTATTCTCACGGAAAGATTTGAAAAGCAATCAACAATTCACAAATCGCAACATTTAAATAAAAAAATATATTTAATACTACATTGTAGGAACATCGTTCACAGTAGCATCGATATTAGCGTCAGTATTACTTACAGTGTCCTGACCACACACTCTGAGGAATAAGTGTGACTTTGTCCAAATATAAGTACTTATATCATTAGTCTGCTTATATTTCCATTAAAATTCTGTTAGCATGAAAATACGAACTTATCTTCATATTAATCACAACCCCTCAAATATTTGTACATTTATTAATTTTATTTATTAAAAAATTGTTTTCAAAAAGAAGCTGTCCGAATATCGTGTAGTTCAGGAAGTTCTTGGCTGACATAATTTCCTTGGAAAAGATTATATTTTTTATAATTTCTTATATAAATATTACCTCTTTCTCTCGTGATTATTAAATCCCCACCTTTTTACAAATTATCTTACCTATTTTTCCCGCATAATTGTTCTAGCTTCAACTATCGAACTAATATTGCATGTTCACATTCATCTTACATCCTGCCCAGTGCTTCACATT